CGCTGTTGTCAGTAAAAATGTTTGTATTTTTCATTTATCATTGTCTTCATCTTCTGTTCTGGCTTATTTTTCGGTTGCCAAATTCTCGTTGCATCTTTCACCGCCAAAAGCTTTAGTGTTTGCAAATTCATGGCCTGACGGCTTCTACTCTAATTAACCTATGTTTCTAATCAACATATGCAGTAAACCAAAAAGTCCGACCGTAAACAAAGAAAAGCTGTTAAGCTGAGAAAAATTATAATATCAATAGAATACATAAAATAACGGAGTCAATTGCAACTTCATACATAAAATAACGAAGTAAATTGCAACCGAAGTTCAGTCTATATGCCACGCGTCAAGGTTGATCTTAAGTACCTATGTGATTGCCTTCATCCTGGAATTGATTTCAAGTATGAATATGAACGAGTCCACATTGAGAGACAACTCTGAAACCTCCACTTCAACCATTATCATCATTAACTGCTTCATAAATGTTCCACTGATGTTGGCAGCTATTCTTGGTAACAGCTTGGTTTTGGTATCCATCTTTGCTTCGCAGTCTCTTCGTTCGCAGCCTTCAATGATTCTGCTGTGTAGTCTGGCTTTCTCCGATCTCGCTGTTGGGTTGATAGGACAACCAATCTTCGTATCCCGCGAACTAACGCTAAATTTGTCTATAATGAATATGTCAGGCGTCATATCGATTGGCCTCTGTGCAATATCACTAGCAACAATGACATTGATAAGTGTTGACCGAGTCCTAGCCCTTCAATATCACATGTCGTACAAGATTTTGGTCACAACTTCTCGGGTCATCTTCACAATTACTTTTGTCTGGCTTTTCCACGTTGTTGTGTCGTGTATTTGGTTCTTCAATGTAGCTGCACTTCTTTATATTGCCAACGCTTTAACAGGAACTTACAGTTTTGTTACAGTAATCTGCTACATTTATATTTACCGAATCGTTCGTCGTCATCAGTCGCAGGTTTTGATGCAGCAAAGAGCTGTTCAAAGTTTCAACACAAGAGCAAATGCACACAACATGGTGTCAGAAAAACACATCGCGTTTAACACATTTGTATTCTTTATCTGCACTTGTTTCTGTTATATTCCGTGGTTCATTTGTCGTTTTTCTATCGGCGGCAAAATTTTCCCCCAAAATTCAGCTTGCATTTTTACAGTAACCTTCATCTATGTAAATTCTACCATCAATCCACTTTTGTACTGTTGGCGCCTTCGTGAGCTACGAGCAGCAGTTAAAAACATTCTGGCGAAAATATTTTGTAAGCAACAAGGATAAAATCTTTGTGGGGCGGCTTTCAATAATTTGGAATTCCCACCTATCGAATATGCTTCTAATGAATATTTTATGAACATCAAATATATGTTACATGTAAATAGTACACCTTACGTATCATCCTGATCCAGGTGGGGCTTGGTGCTTTAAGACAAAGGCTCTGTAATCTTGTGAGTTCAAGAAACTGAACACTGAGTCTTGAAGAATTTATTACAAGCTGAATAAACTTTCAAGCTCAAAAGCACTTCAAAAAAAATTAAATAATGTGTCTACTAATGTTTAGGGGGCCTTATTGTAGAGGCTCCATATATGGGTAGAGTACCAGAAATTGGACAATTTTCAAAACAAACTAAAGTTAAGCTGATGAAAATAGATTAGATATTGTAAAAGTGAGCCTTATTTTTACAGATATAACAAATGTAGTCTCAGTAATTATTACACTCTTGTTCATCCCAAAAATGCTTTAGAAAATTGTATCACAACTGTATCTCAAGTTTGTCATAGTATAAACCATTGAAGACAATAACGGTAAACATATTTAATACAGTCTAGCGATCTTTTTTCAGGGGAGCAAAGGAATTGAAGGAGGAGGGGGGGGGGGGGGCTCTGAAATTTTTTCGACTACCAAGGAGGGGGCTCCTAAAAAATTGAACCACTAGCGAGGGGGGCTGCTAAAATTTCAAGCTTCGAGTTTCAATATCTTCATGAACTTTCAATATCTTCATGAACTTTCCCTAAAGTGTGTCCAGCTGTTCTGACAGCTTGTAAACACCATCCTTTGTCCCTTAACAGAAGATATTTGAGATATGGTGGAACTTTTGATTTCCGAACCGACTTAAAAACAAATCTCTTTATATAATACCAGTATATATCCCTGAATAAAGTTAAGATGCCCAAAACGGAAATAAATGAATAAACGGAATAAATATGAAAGAAGCACAGACAATGAAGCAGACTGAGCAACAATGTACCCTCACACAAATATTGATCTCTTTTGAAGGACACAAAGAGCATTTTTAATTGCATCTCGACACGAAAAATACCTGATCAAAGCACATCTTTCTCACCTACATCGCAGAGGCAGGGACAGCCTTAATTAACGTTAAGGGAAATTAATTTGTAATGACTTTCAACTTTACCGTCATATGTTCGCTTTTGGGATGGAAAAAGGGGCGATATATACCGGCAATATTAAGGTCGCAATTTCAGTTACTGAAATGCCACATTGTGCCACCAATCACCCTCGCAAACACTCATAGAAGACAGAAGTACATTGTATTTTTTTATAGCACAGAGGGCATTTTCGTTTCTGGTCCTTTCAAAGCCAGATTTTTTTACAGTTTTGGAAAAACAGCAGTACTTTGGAAAAGAAAGAAGCAGGGGATGAAAAAGTTTTGTGTAACTTGTTCTACCGGTAAGTTTGCATGGCCATCGTAAGTTAGTTCAAATTTGTTGAAGTATGATCAGTGTGAAAACTTCCCGTCATCCAGAATGAAATAAAAACTTCTAATTAAGAATTACATCACACGTTTCATGCTATGAGAACTGTGAACGGTCGTTTTGAGATCAAATTCAATGTTTCTTCAGATTTACATTCAGCATCAATTGGTTCAGATTCAGATTAAACGTAACATGGTGTCAGAGACATGCGCTGTTGTCAGTAAAAATGTTTGTATTTTTCATTTATCATTGTCTTCATCTTCTGTTCTGGCTTATTTTTCGGTTGCCAAATTCTCGTTGCATCTTTCACCGCCAAAAGCTTTAGTGTTTGCAAATTCATGGCCTGACGGCTTCTACTCTAATTAACCTATGTTTCTAATCAACATATGCAGTAAACCAAAAAGTCCGACCGTAAACAAAGAAAAGCTGTTAAGCTGAGAAAAATTATAATATCAATAGAATACATAAAATAACGGAGTCAATTGCAACTTCATACATAAAATAACGAAGTAAATTGCAACCGAAGTTCAGTCTATATGCCACGCGTCAAGGTTGATCTTAAGTACCTATGTGATTGCCTTCATCCTGGAATTGATTTCAAGTATGAATATGAACGAGTCCACATTGAGAGACAACTCTGAAACCTCCACTTCAACCATTATCATCATTAACTGCTTCATAAATGTTCCACTGATGTTGGCAGCTATTCTTGGTAACAGCTTGGTTTTGGTATCCATCTTTGCTTCGCAGTCTCTTCGTTCGCAGCCTTCAATGATTCTGCTGTGTAGTCTGGCTTTCTCCGATCTTGCTGTTGGGTTGATAGGACAACCAATCTTCGTATCCCGCGAACTAACGCTAAATTTGTCTATAGTGAATATGTCAGGCGTCATATCGATTGGCCTCTGTGCAATATCACTAGCAACAATGACATTGATAAGTGTTGACCGAGTCCTAGCCCTTCAATATCACATGTCGTACAAGATTTTGGTCACAACTTCTCGGGTCATCTTCACAATTACTTTTGTCTGGCTTTTCCACGTTGTTGTGTCGTGTATTTGGTTCTTCAATGTAGCTGCACTTCTTTATATTGCCAACGCTTTAACAGGAACTTACAGTTTTGTTACAGTAATCTGCTACATTTATATTTACCGAATCGTTCGTCGTCATCAGTCGCAGGTTTTGATGCAGCAAAGAGCTGTTCAAAGTTTCAACACAAGAGTAAATGCACACAACATGGTGTCAGAAAAACACATCGCGTTTAACACATTAGTATTCTTTATCTGCACTTGTTTCTGTTATATTCCGTGGTTCATTTGTCGTTTTTCTATCGGCGGCAAAATTTTCCCCAAAAATTCAGCTTGTATTTTTACAGTAACCTTCATCTATGTAAATTCTACCATCAATCCACTTTTGTACTGTTGGCGTCTTCGTGAGCTACGAGCAGCAGTTAAAAACATTCTGGCGAAAATATTTTGTAAGCAACAAGGATAAAATCTTTGTGGGGCGGCTTTCAATAATTTGGAATTCCCACCTATCGAATATCCCCGGGGGGGGGACTCCCATATGAAACAGACGGGGATGCTCGTCGTCTCGCTTAGAGGTGTAAATTTTGGATTTTGGTCTCGCTTAGGGTGTTCCGGGCAAAGTGCCAATATTTTAAGCCGCCAAGGTCTCGTTTAGGGTTCAGCGAAGAACTTGAGATTTATGACAATGCTTTTAAAAGCTACTTTTAGATAAAAGCATTCGATGATTATGTCTTTATATCATTAAAACTCATTGCATGTCATATTTGTGTGTTTTTAAGCGGTCTCTTTTAGGGGTCAAAATTTGCTTAAGCCACGCCCAGATTGGTCTCCTTTCGGGGTCACAAAAAGCTTGAGCCACGCCCAGATGGTCTCCTTTAGGGGTTAAATTCAAAATTTCCGACGAGCATCCCCGTCTGTTTCATATGGGAGTTCCCCCCCCCCCCGGGCGAATATGCTTCTAATGAATATTTTATGAACATCAAATATATATAACATGTAAATGGTACACCTTACGTATCATCCTGATCCAGGTGGGGCTTGGTGCTTTAAGACAAAGGCTCTGTAATATTGTGAGTTCAAGAAACTGGACACTGAGTCTTGAAGAATTTATTACAAGCTGAATTAACTTTCAAGCTCAAAAGCACTTCAAAAAAATTAAATAATGTGTCGACTAATGTTTAGGGGGCCTTATTGTAGAGGCTCCATATATGGGTAGAGTACCAGAAATTGGACAATTTTCAAAACAAACTAAAGTTAAGCTGATGAAAATAGATTAGATATTGTAAAAGTGAGCCTTATTTATATATATATCGTAAAAAAGTTTATCTTATATATTATTTATTTATTTATTCAATTTTTAATTATTATGACTGTTCCTAACTAACGGTATTTAATAAATATTCCTCCACTAGACCTGAATGAGGACTAATGCGAGTTGTCGCAAAATTGTCTCGTGCCCCTACGCGCTGTTCTACTTAATCTTCAAAAGCCTGTGTCTTAGCACCTTATGCAGTGGGCTAACAAGTTTGACTGTTGACAAAGAAAAGCTGTTAAGTCGAGAAAATTATCATCATGGATTCATAAATCGAGTCAGTACATAAGTAAAATAACCAAAAAAATCGTAACCGAGGTTAAGCTGCTTTTCCAAAGGCGGTACAAACTTAAGGTTCACTGTCATTGCCTCCATGCGATTTAATGAGTCAACACTTAAAAACTCTTCTGAAACCTCAAGTTCAACCGTTGTTATTGTCAATCTTGTCACAAATGTTCTATTGATGTTGGCAACAGCTTGGTTTTAACATCCATCTTTACTTCGTCTTCTCTTCGTTCGAGGCCCTCGATGATTTTGCTGTGTAGTCTAGCTATCTCCGATCTCGCAGTTAGGTTGATAGTTTAACCAGTCTTCTTAGCCCGAGAGCTAACTTTTAATTGGTTCCTGGTAAGTCTGACAGGAGTGATATCTATGAGCCTGTGTGCAGTATCACTGGCTACAATGACTTAAGTGTGGACCGAGTCCTGGCCCTTCAAGATCACATGTCGTACAAGATTTTAGTTACAACAATTCGTTCCATAGTTACAGTTACTTTTGTTTGGCTTTTTCACGTCGCTCTGTCGTGTATTTGGTTTTTAAATATGGCTGTAGCTCTTTACATTGCCAATGCTTTAATAGGAATCTATAGTTTTATTGCAGTGATCTGCTACTTTTATATTTAGTACCGAATCGTTCGTCGCCATCAGTTGCAGGTTTGGATGCAGCACAGAGCTGCCAAAATTCCAGCACAAGCACAAGAGAGAACTTACGTACACAACATGGCGTCAGAAAAGCATATCGCGTTTAACACATTTACATTTTATATTTGTACTTGTTTCTGTTACATTCCGTGGTTCATTTGCAATTTTTCTAATGGTGGCAACATTTTTCCCCAAAACTCAGCTAACATTTTTACGTTAACCCTTATCTTCGCAAATTCCGCCATCAATCGACTTTTGTACTGTTGGCGTCTCCGTGAATTAAGAACGGCAGTTAAGAACGTTCTGGCGCGAAAATATCTTGCAAAAAAAAACCAAGGATAAAATGACTTAATGTTTCTCTTGTGTGGGACAGCCTTCATTGACGTCACGTCATATAACTTGAGAGTGCTATGTATTACATATGCTTTAATATTTTGTAAATAACAAAATACTTAAAATAGGATTATAAGAAGGCGTCAAGGTGGCTTGGAGCCAAGGTTATTCAGCCTCCTTTAAAGGAATTGAACATTGAATCTTGAAAGATTTAAGTAACTTATAAATAGCCAGATCACCGAAAGGCCTCATCCAGGCATATGTAGGCGGAGTATAAATATAGTTACTGGAAAATTTTTAAAACAAGTAAAGATTGAAATAATATTTCGAAACATGAGAAAGGGTGTAGTGACATGACGTAAAACTAATTGACAATTATTATTATTATTTCTAACTTTAACTAAAGATGACTTTCCCAAGATATAAATGTTGTTGTGCGTACATTGCAATTGTTATACAACTCGAACTCATTAAATCCTCAGCCAAAATGTCGCCATATTTGAATGGCCTTTTCAAACGCGCGTATTCTTTAGCTTTATTTTTCGAAAAGCCATGTTTTTAAGCACCTTATCCATTATAATTGAGCCAAAAAGTTTGACCATAGACAATGAAAAGCTGTTAAGTCAAGAAAATTACCTTCTTGAATTGCCTACATAGCATAACTAAGTAAAACTTTTAGTGAAGAAAATTCCAAAACTTAGAGCTAAAAATTAAAAAGAAAACGAAACGAATATTTCGTCCAAATTACTCACGCTTCATCAGCGTTGTGAGGTTGAAGCGGTCGGGGATTCGTAACGTTTCTGTTACGCAACCTGCCACCTTACAACGCTCATAAAGTCTGAGTGATTCGGCCGAAATATTCGTTTCGTTTCTTTTTTTTTAATATTTTGCCCCGAGCCTTGGAATTTTCTGTACTAAATGTCTTCGCCTGAGAAGGTAAAAAATCCTTTTGGTTACGAAGTAAATCTTCGCACATGTAAAACCTGTAGACTTTCCGCGTACTGAGTGTCAGAGACTTGAAGTTCGCGTTAAACGTAACACATTTGTATTTTACATTTCTTCTTTGTTTCTGTTATATTCCGTGGTCTGTTTGTCAGTCTTTTACCAGAAGCAACATTTTTCCCAAATTCATTTTCAAAATAAGCTTCATCTGTGAAATATCCGTCATCTATCCACCTCTGCACGGCATTCGTCTTTGCGACCCACGAACGGCTTTTGTCAGGAAAAATATCTTGTCTGCAACCAAGAGTTTGTTTCTCTTTCTCGTTTGGGACGGACGAAACGTCTTATCTTGGGAGTCCAATGAAAATACATGAATACCTAAATATGTATTAAACTTCAGTCTGTTTAATGACAAAGCTTTACAGTGCTTTGGAATGGAGTTTCATTCGCCGTTAGTCGGGAACTGATCTTGAATTTAAAAAAGCTTATCGCCAGTTGAATAAATTTTAGGCTACAAACTGAGCTAAAAAGTTCAAGTGATGTGGCGAAGCAGATGTTAAGTTGCCCCTGCCATGAAAAGAACCTGCAGAAACAATTTTGAAATGAAATCTTACATAGCCGACCGACACCAATAACCGGTTTCCATGAATTCGCCCTTTTTTCCTTCAGATGTTGAGATTCTAATGTCAATTCTCTGATGCAATCGTGAATAAAACTAGTAGAAACTTTGCAAATATCAGCTCTAGGAGGCAACTTTTCTAATTTGCAAGCATTAATGAAAATTTAAATTGAAAATTGTAGGGCTGCTATCAATTAAGCCCCTTATATTGCTCGCGTTTAATTTGTTAACAGCAAGACTGGCACTAAAATAAACATTAGTAGAGAACTATGGGGTTTCTGCAATGTCACTGTTACATAATGAAATGTTTCGTCAATTGGTTACGTATTAGAATTTGTCGCCAACTTATCATCAAGTTACCCACCAGCAAAATTACGTGTCTACTTGACTTGAATGTCCTGATGGATGACAAATTGTCTAGTGTCTCAAGAGCATATTGGTCAGTAAATCTACGAATTAATGGCCAGATGTTTCCAAACAGTTGAAAAGACGGCGCCAAAACGTCTCTTCGTAAACAAGGAAAAATTAACTGCTTAATTTATTCCATGAAATTATATCACAAAATATGAAATAACCTCGTAAAAAGTAACCAAAGCGAAATGCTACCATTTGCAAGAAAGATATGAGTAGACTAATGAGAACGCAAGTATGACTTAACCTGCATTAAGGGTTCACTTAATCAACAGTACCTCAGTGAGTGATTTACATTTCATTTTGGAACTCCCCTCAGCTTTGAACATGAATGCAACAATGTTTAAAAACTCCGCTGGATCGTCAAGTTCTACCATCGCCATCGTAAACTGTGTCATAAATGTTCCACTGATGCTGGCGGCGATTTGCGGCAACACGTTAGTGTTAACAGCGATTTTAACTTCCTCTTTCCTCCGCTCGAGTTCTTCAATGATTTTGCTGTGTGGCCTGGCTGTTTCAGATCTCGCAGTTGGCTTGATAGTCCAACCAGTTTTTATTGCGCAGAATTTGGCACCAAATGACTTTATAAATACTTTATATGGAATGATGGCAACCGCTTTGTGTGGTATATCTCTCAACACAATGGTCCTGATAAGCGTAGATCGAGTACTAGCTCTTCAATTTCACATGTCTTACAGAACCGTAGTTACTTCGCCTCGCGTTATAGTCACCATGATTTTAAGTTGGCTTTTTCACTTTCTTTTCTCCTGTAGTACCAGATTCTTCAACTGGAATGTACAATTTTGTGTGAGCTGCGTTCTCGTCGGCATTTACAGCATCGTTGCCGCAATTGCTTACATTTACATCTATCGCATCGTTCGTCGCCATCAGTTGCAGATTCACATTCAACAACAAGCTATTCAAGGTTCCAACATGGCGGAAGTGAATACTCGCATCATGGTCACAGGAAAGCGAACTACTGTAAACACGTTTATCTTTTACATCTGTACATGTTTTTGTTATCTTCCATGGCTCATTTGTCGATTGTCTACATCACCATGTTTTGACTTAGCAACCTTGGTTTTTGCAAATTCTGCCTTAAACCCTCTGTTGTTTTGCTGGCGTCTTCACGAACTTCGAACAGCAGTTAAAAATCTGTTAATGAAGGCAACATGTCACCAACGAGTAGAAAACTAAATCATTGATATCAAAATGGAAATAAATAGATGCATAATAGTAAAAAATAACTTAGTTCCGGCATATGCATCAGACAGTTTATCATTGTAACACGTGTAAGAATAATCTTGGAAAGGCAGACGATTTTTCTTTAAGTATCATGATGGCAAATATAGTAGAAGGTACACAGGACCTTTTATTTGGTCTTAACTGCATAAGTCCATCAAATCGGCTGAATCAGCTAGCGCTTTTAAAAGACAAATAAGAAAGCTTGACCTGACAGATATCACATCCAGTCAATGTAAAGATTGTTATTTACACTATAGCTTTCCCTCATTAGTTTTGCTAAATATGTTTCGTGATGGAATATAGACTGTGATAGGTAATTGAGCGTAAAATGGAAACGAATGGGAGAGATTTTAATTTATTTATTAGCTTGTATTCTTTGTATTTCTAATATTTATTAATATTCTTATAATTATATCTTAGAGATATCTGAGCTTAAACTGGAAACGGATGGCTTTCAATTTGGATTCGACTTTGCTGACTCCTTTGCAGCCCTTATCTTTGGCAAGTGCCAACTGACATCATTACAGTTGTTCGCCATAATCCACATGTTTTTAAAATTCTTAATTTATTAAGGTCAGGAGCAGCCAAGCAATATCGTTATCATCAGCATACATTCTCAAGTCAATTTAGGAGATCGTTAATTTCTTTCACGTAAAGGTAAAATATATGACGGACCTTCGATGGAGAATCAGAATCACGTTTATAACAGAAGGTTAATGGCTTGATATTCAGATCCTACTATAATAATTAAACCGCAAGTTCAAGTTTTCTGTGAGTCAAATAGACATCTCGGCGCTAGCTGCCTCATTGACCTTAAATTACTCGACCTTTGAGCGTTATTGTTAATTAAAGAGATTCAAAATCACGTTCACAACAAAAGGTGAATATGATATCCAGATTGGCAATTTTTCAAATGAAGAAATGTGTAGACAAAAAGAGTCCAATTTAGTTCTTATGGATGAAACTGCAATGAAACTCGTTTTTAGGGTACGTACGATCATGAGGCCGACCGTAAACGAAATGGGTAAAGGGAAATCTTGGTCACGTCGTCGAACAACAACGACAACCGTCTACTGCCGTAAACGTGATGCCAAATCACTCTGTTATTTCAGCTGCGTTATTCTTACTCACACCATCATGTGGGTGGACAACACGTCCGATCAGAAAATAATAAGGGGAAGTTATGTTTTGAAGGATAAGCTCTTATTCCTGTCATAATGTTCTAATATCTAAGTCAATCTTCAAACCTCTTTTGCATATTAAATAGTGAATTGACGTGATAAAAACTCATGATTAAAAATAAAGAAAGTCAAACTCCACTAGTGAACTAGAACTGACAGCCAGCATCGCGTGAACCTGCACCTTGGAATCGATTTCAAGTTTGGAAATGAATGCATCAACATTTAATGACTCTAATAACTACTCTGGAACTTCAAGTTCGAATTCATCCATTGTCATCGTTGACTGTGTCATAAATGTTCCACTGATGTTGGTCGCAATTTTTGGTAACTCCTTAGTGTTAACAGCCATCGTAACTTCTCCTTCTCTTCGTTCGCTGCCTCCCATGATTTTGCTGTCTGGACTGGCTGTTTCAGATCTTACAGTTGGCTTAATAATCCAACCGATTTACATTGCTCGACAACTTTCAGCTCATGACTTTATATTGAAACTGTCACGTATGATGGCCACTGCTTTGTGCAGTGTATCTCTTTGCACAATGGCACTAATAAGTGTGGATCGAGTTCTAGCTCTTCAGTTTCACTTGTCTTACAAAACTGTAGTTACTTCGACTCGTGTAATGTGTACTATTAGTTTGAATTGTCTTCTTCACTTCCTTTTGTCGAGTGTTCTATTCTTCGATAAGAAACTATCTTCTTTTGTTAGCTGTGCTTTAATTGGCATGTACAGTGCAGTTACAACCGTCTGCTACATTCATATCTATCGCATCGTTCGTCGCCATCAGTTACAGATTCGCACAGGGCGACAAGCTGTCAACATGGAAGCGAACACTCACAACATAGTGTCAGCAAAACGCGCTGCTCTAAACACTTTTATATTTTACATTTGTACATGTTTGTGTTACCTTCCGTGGTTTGTTTGTCGTTTGCTTACTGAAGGCAACCTTCCTACCTCATATTCACTTTGCATTTTAACAACCACTTTGATATTTGCAAATTCCGCCTTAAATCCACTTTTGTATTGCTGGCGTCTCCATGAACTTCGCGCAGAAGTTAAGAAACTTATTAAGATATTAATAATAAAGATAACATTTTAACAATCAAGAGGAATGAAGCTTGTGAAATGTTCATTTTTTTTTGGCATTGTCGGGGGCTTAGTTGAATGGATTGCCAAATGGAGTCGAAATGACCTTTGTATTAAAATTTCTTTTAACTTGGTGTATGTAAATTTAGAAAAATGTATTTGTAATTGATCAACTTAAAAAATAATGAAAAAGTGTTTTTTCTTATCTCTGGGCTTAATAAGAAGATCATTAATAATTAATGATGCTATTGTCTTGATAATATTTCATGGGTGTTAAAGAGATTCAAAATCGCGTTCACAGCAAAAGGTACTGGATATCATATCCAGATTGGCAATTTTTCAAATGAAGAAATGTGTAGATAAAAAGAGTCCAATTTAGTTCTTACGGATGAAACCGCCATGAAACCCCTTTTTTGGGTAGGTATGATGAAGAACCGTAATGTTTTAATGTCTTTGTTTTTGTGTTGTGTCCGGGCTCCATTGTAAACTAGCTCTGCTAAACTGAATGCCCCTGGATAAATATTGAATTAAAAAATAATAATAAAAATAAACGAAATGACTGAGGGGATATCTTGGTCCATTGTCAAATAACGACGACAACCGTCTACTGCTGTAAAAGGCGTGATGCCAAATCACTCTGTTATTTCAACAACACAGACAACACGTCCGATAAGAAAATAATAAGGGGAAGTTATTTTCTGAAGCTTGAGCTCTTATTTCTGTCGTAATGTTCTTATTTCTAAGTAAATCTTCAAACTTTTTTTGCATACTAAACAATGAAATAAAGTAATAAAAACTCATGATTAAAAATCAAGAAAGTCAAACTCCACTAGTCAACTGAGAACTCTTAGCCAGCATCGCGTGAGCCTGAAGTAGCGACATATGTGATTACTTGCACCTTGGAATCGATTTCAAGTTTGGAAAGGAATGTATATTAACATTAATTAACAATTAATGAATGAGGCTGAGTATGAAGAATTATGGAGATCGAGGAGGGTGTTATCCATCGAGGCCGTAGGCTCTCTCTTCCGGCAATGGGCCCATTTTCTGCGTGCAAGGTCCAACTCGCTGTTTTTGGCAAGCTACGCATCTTCTGATAACACGTTTGACTTCTCGTCTCCCCTGGGTCAGCCAAATTTTCTGTCTTAAGGTTCACAATATGCTTTCTGGGCCCGCATGTAACATGACCTTGTGTAGGTCTTGTACCATTTGCGACTTCGGGATGTCCGTCAGGCAATATTAGTCGATGCTTGGTCTGTTCAAGTAGATCAGCAAACTGCAGTCGGCCACCAGCTCTTATACGGATGATAGATACGGGTCTTGTTTGAGAAGGCGACTGTTCTTGGGAAGTGTTTGTCTGGACTTGAGGAACTGGTAATCTTCTTTATAGACTTCTCCCTGTACCTATAACACTTAATCTCCGCCTTCTTCACTTCTTCTACCGACAGTTCGCTTTCAGGAGACTTACATTTGGTGTTGAACAACTTGACTGCTCTCAGTACATAAGCGGTTACTCGAATCAACTTTAACCATGTCCCGTAGCGCGACATATCAATTAACGGCTCTCTAACGACAGCTGTACAACCATGAGCAATTTTCCTTTCATCTTCGAGTATTTCCAGAGGGAACAGTTCCACCTTGGGACTGAACGGGTAAAGGTTTGTCACTCGAAGACTGCCACCGAGGTGCATTCCACCATAAGGTACTGGCAATCATATCACCACAGCTCAACCCACGCGTCAACAAATCGGCAGGAGTTTCCTTACTAGTACAGTACCTCCAACACTCAGGATCCCACGTGGACTGTATTTCTGCCACTCGATTCGCCACGAATGGTTTCCAACGAGAACTCTGACCTTTCACCCAATGTGGTGCCGCCATGCTATCAGTCCAACACACAAAACTACTCACTTCCTTAGGCAAAGTGTCTACAACAACTTCAACAAACTGGCATTTACGACTGCTGCTAAAAGTTCCAGTCTGAGTAGTGACACTTTCTTGATATGTGCAACTCGCTACTTAAGAATAATTTGAGTCATTTATAACGTTTTTTTAAAATTATCTATCACGGCTATTGAAAATTTAAAGTTTGAAATATATTTTCGTTTTAGTCGAATTCAAACATACAGAATTTTTTACTTCTTAGGGAGATTGTTTGCTAAACACCAAACTTTAAGTTCCTAGTGTTGGACTTTCAGTAGCAGGTCTAGAACACACAAAATTCGGCTTTTATCAATTTCAAAGTTTTTTGTTTATTGTTGTCATAGTAATATCGATTTTACTTAAAACTACATTTTCAAAAATTTCAATCCATAGCCAGTTACTGGTGAAAATTTTATAGCCATCGGATAAGGAAAAAATCACTTTTAAGGCTACTGAAAAATATCGGTATGGCCTCTGAAAAAAAGGAGACGAATTTCGTTGAAAGGAAGCATGATAAATTTAAAGAGGCGGTCAGAAAATGAGAAATGCCAGAAATGTGAGCGGTACTAAGGTGAAAATGAGCGGCAGTGAAAAAAAGTGCACAGGAATTCATGCGGTATTTCCATCATGAAACGTCTATAAATTAGGACGTTTAATGTTGTCGTCGAGCAAAACAACGGCAAATGAATGTACAAAAAAGTGTGCTGCAGTGCATGCAAAGGTGCTCTTATTTTGCTAATAGACCTCTTTAGCTTGTAAGTTTTGTTTTCCTCATACAGGTCATGTGATAAATACTCTAGAGCCATTGGTTTCTTTCAGATTTCGTCTAAAAAAAAGAGTGTGTTCCTTTCGGTGAATCCAAAAACGGATTTTAGATCTAAAAACGGATTTCGCGTTCCTTTCGGCAAATCCAAATCCGGATTTTTGATCTGGTGAATCCTTTTTGAAAAAGCATTCATTGGATTTGAAATCCGAGGAATCCAAATCCAGATTAACGGATTAGTGATCTACGCTGTTTCATTCACAGTGGATTCGAAATTAGTCAGATGATCCAGCGGTATTTCCAGTTGAAGTATTCCCATAGAGGCCGTAGAGTTTCCTCGTTACTGTCATTTTCCGCAAAACATCTGAAACCATTAGAAGATTGTTCCTGGTACATTGAAATATCCATTTACTAACCATTTGTCTCTAAAGATTGCTTGAAATCAGAAATAAGTAAAAGTAACAAATGAACTGCTATCTAACTACAAACTCGCTTGTAGACGCGACCGGCATTCGATCGTGCTACATAAAAAAATCCGAGCTATTGAACTGGATCAAACTGGCCGACATTCTTTAGATAATTTTCAATTTTAATGCGCTTCTTTCTTTGTCTGTTTTATATGTTCCATCGTCGCTATTCGAACTGCCGACCACTAAATTCTGCACGGTATAATCGCATAATTTGTCAAACAGTAGAAAACACGTCATTTTTTGAGAGGCGGTCGTGCATATTGCACGCGTTGGCGAAAGGTTACCAAGGTTACAAATCCAATTTCGGATTTCACGTTCCTTTCGACCGAGAAATCTGGGAAATCTAGGATCAAAAATCCGTTTTTGGATTCGCCGAAAGGAACACACCCTAATATTCAAGTGCATATGTACGCATAATTTATGAAAAGACAAAGGGCGAAAACAAAACATTCAAGCTATAGTAAAGAGGTTTAGTAAACCTAATGATTTTTTGCAGTTTTCCTTCTTGTCACTGTTTAGCATTACACGAGTTCATTTTTTTTTTTGAGTAAACTTTAAGTATATATTAACAAGAGTTTCGCTTTTAGCCATTAATCTATTCATTAAATTGAGTGCTACTAGCTTTTCCTAATAGACAGCTATTAAGAGCGACGTTCAGGAAATATCGACCATCGAGTGGCAAGAGTTGACAAATCGATTTCCTTCATTTTTTGCCCATAAAGAGCTTTTAGGTAGATAAGTAATCTGACGTAAGTTGTTCTTGCAAAAAGCCTTTTATGTTCGAGAAAAGTAAGAATGTCAGTTTTCGTGGTCGGAGTCTCAAAATGGCCGTATTTTCAACCCGAAATTTGCTAACATCAACTCTCCTCGCGTTCGCAAATAAAGCCGCAAGGAGAAATTTGGACACTTTCCATCAATAGAACAAATCTTCTTCTTCCACTAGAAGATACCGTGATTCCGCGACTGTCATTTTGACGGCTCGTACGCTATGTCACGTGCAGTCTGGGAGAGTTCAGTGTTTCAAAATGGTCAAAAATTTCACCTTTTGACCCCACTCTTTGATTGAAAAAAGGAACTTTGCAATGGGAAAACCTACAAGCAGTACGAAAAACGAGCATTTAGGCTGTAAATATCTACTTTTGTGCGTTTCGAAATTGGAAGTGTTCACACAATTATACCGCCGGCCCACCATATCCATGAAAATTCGTGAATTTCGATGGTGTCTTACAGAGATTTCCTTCTAACCCAAGCCAATTCCCAGGTATGTTTTAAATGAATGTCTAAATGTGTGATTTAAATAGCATGAAGAGAATTTGGAGTTATACCACATATTAAATATTGCCGTCGAAAATGAGTAACGAACTTGAGTTTTTGTTATCCTGAAAACCTGTCCCTCATTTTTGAATTATTTCAGTACGTCGAGCTTCGCTATTGCCCTGAAAGTATCTTTTAGTGGAAGAAAAATAATTTTTCTGTTCATGGAAAGTGTCCAAATTTCTCCATGCGGCTTCGTTTGCGAACGCGAGGAAAGTTAATGTTTAGGGAACAGTTCCACCTTGGGACTGAACGGGTAAAGGTTTGTCACTCGAAGACTGCCACCGAGGTGCATTCCACCATAAGGTACTGGCAATCATATCACCACAGCTCAACCCACGCGTCAACAAATCGGCAGGAGTTTCCTTACTAGTACAGTACCTCCAACACTCAGGATCCCACGTGGACTGTATTTCTGCCACTCGATTCGCCACGAATGGTTTCCAACGAGAACTCTGACCTTTCACCCAATGTGGTGCCGCCATGCTATCAGTCCAACACACAAAACTACTCACTTCCTTAGGCAAAGTGTCTACAACAACTTCAACAAACTGGCATTTACGACTGCTGCTAAAAGTTCCAGTCTGAGTAGTGACACTTTCTTGATATGTGCAACTCGCTACTTAAGAATAATTTGAGTCATTTATAACGTTTTTTTAAAATTATCTATCACGGCTATTGAAAATTTAAAGTTTGAAATATATTTTCGTTTTAGTCGAATTCAAACATACAGAATTTTTTACTTCTTAGGGAGATTGTTTGCTAAACACCAAACTTTAAGTTCCTAGTGTTGGACTTTCAGTAGCAGGTCTAGAACACACAAAATTCGGCTTTTATCAATTTCAAAGTTTTTTGTTTATTGTTGTCATAGTAATATCGATTTTACTTAAAACTACATTTTCAAAAATTTCAATCCATAGCCAGTTACTGGTGAAAATTTTATAGCCATCGGATAAGGAAAAAATCACTTTTAAGGCTACTGAAAAATATCGGTATGGCCTCTGAAAAAAAGGAGACGAATTTCGTTGAAAGGAAGCATGATAAATTTAAAGAGGCGGTCAGAAAATGAGAAATGCCAGAAATGTGAGCGGTACTAAGGTGAAAATGAGCGGCAGTGAAAAAAAGTGCACAGGAATTCATGCGGTATTTCCATCATGAAACGTCTATAAATTAGGACGTTTAATGTTGTCGTCGAGCAAAACAACGGCAAATGAATGTACAAAAAAGTGTGCTGCAGTGCATGCAAAGGTGCTCTTATTTTGCTAATAGACCTCTTTAGCTTGTAAGTTTTGTTTTCCTCATACAGGTCATGTGATAAATACTCTAGAGCCATTGGTTTCTTTCAGATTTCGTCTAAAAAAAAGAGTGTGTTCCTTTCGGTGAATCCAAAAACGGATTTTAGATCTAAAAACGGATTTCGCGTTCCTTTCGGCAAATCCAAATCCGGATTTTTGATCTGGTGAATCCTTTTTGAAAAAGCATTCATTGGATTTGAAATCCGAGGAATCCAAATCCAGATTAACGGATTAGTGATCTACGCTGTTTCATTCACAGTGGATTCGAAATTAGTCAGATGATCCAGCGGTATTTCCAGTTGAAGTATTCCCATAGAGGCCGTAGAGTTTCCTCGTTACTGTCATTTTCCGCAAAACATCTGAAACCATTAGAAGATTGTTCCTGGTACATTGAAATATCCATTTACTAACCATTTGTCTCTAAAGATTGCTTGAAATCAGAAATAAGTAAAAGTAACAAATGAACTGCTATCTAACTACAAACTCGCTTGTAGACGCGACCGGCATTCGATCGTGCTACATAAAAAAATCCGAGCTATTGAACTGGATCAAACTGGCCGACATTCTTTAGATAATTTTCAATTTTAATGCGCTTCTTTCTTTGTCTGTTTTATATGTTCCATCGTCGCTATTCGAACTGCCGACCACTAAATTCTGCACGGTATAATCGCATAATTTGTCAAACAGTAGAAAACACGTCATTTTTTGAGAGGCGGTCGTGCATATTGCACCCGTTGGCGAAAGGTTACCAAGGTTACAAATCCAATTTCGGATTTCACGTTCCTTTCGACCGAGAAATCTGGGAAATCTAGGATCAAAAATCCGTTTTTGGATTCGCCGAAAGGAACACACCCTAATATTCAAGTGCATATGTACGCATAATTTATGAAAAGACAAAGGGCGAAAACAAAACATTCAAGCTATAGTAAAGAGGTTTAGTAAACCTAATGATTTTTTGCAGTTTTCCTTCTTGTCACTGTTTAGCATTACACGAGTTCATTTTTTTTTTTGAGTAAACTTTAAGTATATATTAACAAGAGTTTCGCTTTTAGCCATTAATCTATTCATTAAATTGAGTGCTACTAGCTTTTCCTAATAGACAGCTATTAAGAGCGACGTTCAGGAAATATCGACCATCGAGTGGCAAGAGTTGACAAATCGATTTCCTTCATTTTTTGCCCATAAAGAGCTTTTAGGTAGATAAGTAATCTGACGTAAGTTGTTCTTGCAAAAAGCCTTTTATGTTCGAGAAAAGTAAGAATGTCAGTTTCCGTGGTCGGAGTCTCAAAATGGCCGTATTTTCAACCCGAAATTTGCTAACATCAACTCTCCTCGCGTTCGCAAATAAAGCCGCAAGGAGAAATTTGGACACTTTCCATCAATAGAACAAATCTTCTTCTTCCACTAGAAGATACCGTGATTCCGCGACTGTCATTTTGACGGCTCGTACGCTATGTCACGTGCAGTCTGGGAGAGTTCAGTGTTTCAAAATGGTCAAAAATTTCACCTTTTGACCCCACTCTTTGATTGAAAAAAGGAACTTTGCAATGGGAAAACCTACAAGCAGTACGAAAAACGAGCATTTAGGCTGTAAATATCTACTTTTGTGCGTTTCGAAATTGGAAGTGTTCACACAATTATACCGCCGGCCCACCATATCCATGAAAATTCGTGAATTTCGATGGTGTCTTACAGAGATTTCCTTCTAACCCAAGCCAATTCCCAGGTATGTTTTAAATGAATGTCTAAATGTGTGATTTAAATAGCATGAAGAGAATTTGGAGTTATACCACATATTAAATATTGCCGTCGAAAATGAGTAACGAACTTGAGTTTTTGTTATCCTGAAAACCTGTCCCTCATTTTTGAATTATTTCAGTACGTCGAGCTTCGCTATTGCCCTGAAAGTATCTTTTAGTGGAAGAAAAATAATTTTTCTGTTCATGGAAAGTGTCCAAATTTCTCCATGCGGCTTCGTTTGCGAACGCGAGGAAAGTTAATGTTCGCGAATTTCAGGTTAAAAACTAGGACAGTCTGAGACTCCGACATCGAAAACCGATCTTCTAATTTTTCTCACATATAAAAGGCTTTTGGCACGAACAATCTAGTTTAGGTTTCATATCTACCTAAAAGCTATCTATAAACAAAAAATGAAAGAAACTGATTTTCCAACTCTTGCCACGAAATTAAGATCTTGGTCTATTTTTATTGACCGTCGCTCTTAATTAAAAATATGTATGCAACCGACAGTGAGGCTATCTGAGCCTGTGATTAAGCAATGTCAGTAAGAGATTTTATATATTAGGATGTGAGTGCATGTTATTGTTGTGGACTTCATCAGAAACTTTTAAACAACTGAAAAGGGAATTAATGTTAACTAATTTTTTTAGCTAAAATTTTCCCACAATTGTTTCGTCAAAATGACAAAATTTGCAGTGCGCGTTTTATTAAGTCTAACTCGCATTTTGTTTCAAACGCCACAAAAAAACTCCCACTCGTTATTTAATTAAGCAGTAAAAGGATTATGTAATTACGAATTGGATCGACTTTTGAGGAAACATATATTATTGTTATGGCTAAGTATAAGCTAAGTTCATAAAATAAAATGCGTAGGATGTAGTTCCAATTAGTACTCCCTTCCTTCCCACACAACGAACTGATATTTTATTCCTGTGTCACCAGCAGCCATCTGCCAGCCGGAAAGCATAAAAGAAAATTAATTGATGGCAAATCACAAAGTATATTACTTTCTACAAAAAAAACAGTCATTATATTAAGCGCTTAGAACGCATGCGGATAAGCGCTATATAAGTGTTATTATTATTATATTTGCGTAGCTAAAATCACAAATATAACGAAACTCCAACGAGCCATCAAAAACCGATCGTATGTGACTTTAACATTCGCCTTTGAAAAAGTTCAGCCTTTCCTTGGAAAATGAATGAATCAGTTTACAAAAACTACTCTACAACTTCAAGTTCGACCATTGTCGTCGCTAACTGCCTGATAAATATTCCACTGATGTTGGCAGCCATTTTAGGCAATTCGTTGGTGTTAGCAGCGATTTTAACCTCTCCGTCTCTTCGTTCGAGGGCGTCGATGATTTTGCTCGCTGGTTTAGCCGTTTCAGATCTGGCAGTGGGCTTGATTACACAGCCTTTTTATATCGCACAGGAACTTTCATTAAATGGATTAATCGCGAAGCTATCATATACGATGTCCTCGTCTTTAATAGGAATATCCCTCGCTACAATGGCGTTGATAAGCGTTGACCGGGTCTTGGCTCTTCAGTGTCACATGTCTTACTATGCTGTGGTCACAACGCCTCGAGTTATCTTCATCATGGTTTTTATCTGGATTCTTCACTTCTTTGTGTCGTGTATTAGATTACAGCTCAACACGATTCTTAAACACGCCGCCTACGTTCTACTTGGGGTTTATAACGCAGCTTCGATAATTTGCTATATTAATATTTATCGTGTCGTTCGTCGTCATCAGTTACAGATTCGGATTCAAAGACAGGCCGCTCAAAATTCTAACACGGAAATAAATATACGCAATATCGCAACAATGAAATACGCTGCTCTTAACACTTTTGTGTTCTACATATGTGCATGTTTCTGCTACTTCCCAAGAGTCATGTATTTTCTCTCTCGCCGCGATAACTCTGACGCAAACGATTCTAACACGCCCTGGATTTTCACAGCAACTTTGATCTTTGCTAATTCCGCGATAAATCCACTGTTGTATTGTTGGCGCCTTCGTGAGCTTAGAATAGCAGTTAAAAGCACATTAGCAAAGATATCCTGCAGTGAACAACGAGAGAATAACTAATATCAGGCATGCATTAATGACATGGAAGTAATAACAGCTGTTTTTATTTATGTTTATGCGATAATGATTATCTGGTACATTCAAGCTTAAAAACGAAATTGTCGATTAACTTTTTAGCCTAAATAACTTGGTAGAAGTTATAAACTTATTTAATTAATTTATCTATTCAAGTAGTTTCTTTGAATTTATGTTAGTCATTAACACATCCGTGGAATTTACTGTTGGAATAAACTATGTAAATATCTTGTTATGGGCAACTGCGAAACCGACCAAATTAATCATTAATTGAGCAAAAGCCTTTTTCAAGCTGAATCCTGACTAGAAAAACACTTTTGAATCCTTTTAATTTATAAGCTTCTGATAGTTTGTTGCCTTGGGAACATGATGTCCCCAGCGTTTCTTGCACATTAGGGACCCTAAGATCCGACGACGGCGATACCCCCGCTACCAAGCAATAGGGGTTTAATTAGCAAAACAACAATTTTGCACCTGCATCACGCTTTTTTGTACATTTCTTTGCCGTCACTGCACGACTACGACCTGAAAATGCCTAATTTCACAATGTACAGAGGAAGTACACAAGCAACGACGAAATTTCCTCTCTCTTTCTGAACTTGGATATGGTTCTTAGGAATTCAGCTTTAGGAGGGTTCGCCTACATTTGACAAAGTCAGTGACTTGGACTAATCGTGGTGAAGATTGAAAGAACGCGAATTCACTTTTTCAGCGACGTTTTCTCTTCCGTCGCCGTCCTCGGATCTTAAGGTTCCTAATAATCTATTCGGAGAAGACACATACAAATTTTGGGAGCTATTACTGGATTTTCTTGTGCATTTACAAGGAAAGAACGTTTACAATTTTGCACTATTCTGTGCCGTTCAGACTCATTTCTAACGCATACAAAATCGAGTTGTTTTAAACTTTACCTAATCTGGTACTCAAGCAAATAGATTTTCCACATAAATTCCGTAGCTTAAGTACAGTCTACTCCCAATAACTCCAACCTCGCTTAACTCTCGAACCAAAATCGATTTCCGGCTTGGATCTCCTGACCTTCATACATTTACTGTAATTTTACCCTCGGCAACTCGATTTCTCTAGAACTCGAACTTCCTGGTAAATCGAAGTAATTTTTGTTTCCCTTTAGATAATGTTTACATAATTTTACCCTCGAAAACTCGAACCATGTTTTAAGCGGAAGAAAAGTCTGAAAAAACGAACAAACAAACCAACAACAAAAACAGTGTACTGCGCATGCAGTGCAAAAGATTGAATTTATTTTAAAGCAATCGTGTATTCTTTGCCATTTGACTTTTTTGTATGTCCAGTTCAAGTACAGTTCAGTTCCTTTTATTTTAAAATGTCATTATATCTATCTCTTGCTTTCCTGGAAGGGGAAGTGCGCTTGATATACTTACATTGCATTTCTTTCCAACCCCAAGGGTTTTATTTTTGACACTTTATTGGGGTAAAAGTGCAATCATGAAAGAATGAACAAGAAGACCTATGATTACAAATAAAATAAAACTGATTAATATAGCTGACAAGAATAATTAAAAAACAATTGCGCATCCCCAAAAGGGCAAGTGCAAACGGGACCCTCGACCCATGAAAGGCTCCGCCCTGTTGTTACTTACAATTACAATTTTCCGTGTATGAATAAAGATATACATTCATACCTACGTTGCATACATACATGAAGTGGAGATGCGTAGATCTGCAAACTTGGATGTTGGTTACAGAAAAGAGTAAAAATAAAAGCACTAAAATAAAACTTATTTGTAAAAAATACCCCACATAGTCCAGCCATATTGTGTAAAAAAATAGCTGAATTGTGCACTTTGGGGTAAAAGCATCAAACTCGGCACAGTGATAGTACTAGTTGCACTAATTATTTTTAGCTATGGACCCCACTCAAATATGCACGGGGGGAGGCACATTGTGCCCTTGGGGGGGAGGGGTCATGGCCTTTTTGTTTTGGTCCGGAGAAGACTCAAAAACGGGAAGAACGCGGCCTAAAAAACTTTTGCATTCCCATTTTATTCAAAGTAGTGCAAGGTAACCCTATAAAATACCTGTTACTTACTTTTCTGAGAGATTTTTTAAAATTATTTTAAAAGAGTGTGTAAGTGATTCTTGTCACAAGGGAAAGCCACGTAGAGGCAAGTTGAGTTCTGAAGGGCGGAATTAATTTGAGTTAAAGCATTACAATATTATACATGCACTCCCTGACACATCAAAACACTTCATTAATATTTTTGAGACACCTCCTGATGGAACAAACAAGACTGCACACGGAAGAAACAAAAGGTCAGGCTACTCAAGGAAATTCTGCATGGCGGACAGGAATGGCTGGTCTTTTTGCTCTCTCGTTTGTGAGAGACAGTATGCCGTTTTTCACCCTTGGAAAGATAAGATGTTTCATTTTTACACTTTTATTGAAGTGAATTGCACTTTTTGGGAATTTATTTGCTCAGCCAAACTACCGCAAAAATAAAACATGAGACACTTACAGAGACCTTCAACGACATGCAACGAGGAGTTATTAACCACTTTTATTGCGGGCGACAAGAGTAGCCCGCAGTTTTCATTTTCAGGTTATTATTAAGCATGCATCGCAGGTATGTAGCCGGCATTCGCTTGGACTTCCACTTATAAGGATGAATGGAATTCACAGAAAGCAATTTGATCACTCGCATCAACTCGCATCTGGATCTTCTCTGGTCACTTAGAATCTGATCACGCGTGTTTGGAACATCTATCAAGTGAAACTTGTGCAAAGCACAGCGTTGGAGTAACAGCGTTTTCATCTTCCATCGTTGTCGCCCTCAGTCCGTAGCCTTTGGTTTTCTTTTGTTTTCTTTTGTTTTCAATAATATATTGATCTCTCTCACACTCTATTGTCATCTTTACAATTATCAAAAATAAAAGTGCCGAGTTGAGGAGAAAAGCATATCTAACATCAGACGTCTGATAACAGTTATATAACATAACATATAAAATCAGACGTCTGATAATAGTTATATGACAGCAGATGTCTGCTGTCATATATGTTATATAACTGTTATATAACAGTTATATAACTGTTATATATAACAGTTATATAACAGTTATATATGTTATATAACTGTTATATAACAGTTATATGACTGTTATATATATGTTATATAACATAGTTATATAACAGTTATATGACAGTTATATATATGTTATATAACAGTTATATAACTGTCATATAAGTGTCTATGTTATATATAACTGTATATGTAACTGTCTATATTATATCACTGTTATATAACAGTTATATGACAGTTATATAACTGTTATATAACACTGTTATATGACAGTCATATAACTGTTATATAACATATATATAACTAATTTGTTATATGACAGTTATATAATAACTGTTATATACGTTATATAACAGTTATATATATGTTATATATATAACAGTTATATAACATATCTGTCATATAACTGTTATCAGAAGTCTGACATCATATAACTGTTATCAGACGTCTGTTATATAACTGTTATATAACATAGTTATATAAGAGTTATATAACAGCTATATGACAGTTATATAACTGTCATATAACAGTTATAACTGTTATGTATGTTATATAACAGTTATATATATATGTTATATAACATATATAACTGTTATATAACATATTTAACTGATATATAACAGTTATATAACTAATTTGTTATATAACAGTTATATATGTAACAGTTATATAACATATTTGTCATATAACTGTTATCAGACGTCTGTTATATAACAGTTATATGACAGTTATATAACTGTTATATAACATATATAACAACTATATGACAGTTATATAACATATATAACGGTTATATAACAGTTATATGACAGTTATATAACTGTCATATATGACAGTTATATAACTGTCATATATGTTATATAACACTTATATAACATATATGACAGCAGACATCCGCTGTCATATAACTGTTATCAGACGTCTGACATCATATAACTGTTATTAGACGTCTGCTGTCATATAACTGTCATCACACGTCTGATGTCTGATTTTATATGTTATGTTATATAACGTCTGATAACAGTTATGTGACATCAGACGGCTGTTGTCATATAACTGTTATCAGACGTCTGATTTTTGTAACTGTTAGCAGACGTCTGACATCATATAACTGTTATCAGACGTCTGATGACAGTTATATTACATAACATATAACATCAGACGTCTGATAACAGTTATATAACATAACATACAAAATCAGACGTCTGATAACAGTTATATGACAGCAGATGTCTGCTGAGACTGGAGCAGTGCTATATTTGCTGTGATGTTTCACAGCAAGTACACAACACAAATCTTTGACACATTTGATAACAGCAATATGTGGATTTAACGCCATATAGAGATATTCTCGAAGTCTTTCTTGCCTTAAGTGAATACCATGCAATTGTTTAGAAGAACGCCACAGAAAGAAACACTGATAGTAACCAAGCCTCACATAAGCCTCACATCTCTCAGTTTTTAAAAAG